TCCATTAGTGATGATATGAATCTCCAATTAACTTGTGTTGTGCCTGAAGAGGAAATTTGTGTGGCCTTAAAGGAGATGGAACCTTCTAAAGCTCCAGGCATCGATGGCATGACCTCTATGTTTTTCCAATCTTATTGGTCAATTGTTAAAGATGACATTTGTGATGCCATCGCTACCTTTTTTAGTCAAGTAAAATGCCTAAAGGGGTGATCACACAATGCTTACTCTTATCCTCAAACATAATGCTCCAGACTTTGTTTTTGATTTCAGGACCATTGTCCTATGTACTGTCTTATATAAAATAATTTCCATAGTCCTTGCCAATAGGGGGAAATCTGTTTTGAGTCCTTGTATTAATGATTCCCAAGCTGCTTTTGTGCCCGAGAGAAATATTCTTGATAAGGTTTTCTTGGCTAATGAGTGTATTCACTACCTCAATAGCAAGAGGAAAGGGTCAAAGTGTCTTATGACTGTGAATTGGACATGGCCAAAGCCTATGACCGTGTTGAGTAGAAATTTCTTATAAGTGTTCGTAAAAAAATGGGTTTCTCTGACTCTTTTCTAGTTTGGATTTTTGCTTGCTTATATTCAGTCTCTTATTATTTTAATATTAATGGGAAGGTTCTTGGTTTGTTAAACTGTCTAGGGGTATTGGACAATGAGACCCCACATCTCTTTATTTGTTCATCATTTTGTTTGAACCATTATCTAATCTAATTCATCAGGTTTGTGCTCTTTCTTTGTATTATGGTATTAAGATTAGTAGATTATATCCTCCTATTTCCTACCTTTTGTTTGTTGATTATACTATTCTTTTTTGTAATGCTGATGTTTTTCATGCTGAGTTGATTTTGCATATCCTAGATAGCTTTTGTTCTGCTTCGGGTCAAAGTTTCAACATGAGTAAATCCTCTGTCTTTTTCTCTACAAATACTCTGCTTGTTCTAAGCTGAGAATCTGCACTATGTTGAATGGTATCCAATGTGTGAGAAATTCTAAATACTTAGGCCTTCCCTTGGACATAGGTAAATCTAAGAGAGACACCTTCAATTATGTGTTTGATTGTGTGGTTAATAGATTGTCCTGCTGGAAGAATGCTTCCTTTAGCACTTCTGGTAGGGAGGTGCTAATTAATCAGTCATTGAAGCATTCTCTACTTATGTGATCTTGCTATAAACTCCCTGTGAGCATTTGTAATGATATTTGCAGGGTTATAGCTAACTTTTGGTGGAGAAAAAATGAATAGGGTAGGAATAAAACTCATAAGGTTTGTTGGGATGAGTTGGCCAAACCAAAGGCTTGTTGGAGGTTGGGGTTCAGAAAATTAAAAGTATTCAATGATGCTTTACTGGCTAAGCAACAATGGAGAATCCTTACTCAACCTAACTTGTTTATCAGTAAAGTAGTTAGAGGGAAATACTTTTATTGGACTTGTTTGTTAAATGTGCAGCCTAGGAATGGGGATTCCTAGTTATGGAAAATGTGGGTGGGAGTTCAGAAACTTTTTAACCTGGGGATTAGATGTCAAGTGGGTGATGAGAAGTCCATACCTATCTGGGATCACCCTTGGCTTCCTAGGAAAACCAACCCAACACCACCTGCAGTTTCTATTGGGATAGAGGTAATTTGTGTTGGGTTAGTGGTCTAGTGGAGATAAAGAATGGAGGGTGGGATAGAGAGTTAATTAGAAAAACTTTCAGCCCTGAGGAAGCTAACATTATTCTCAAAATCCCTCTCTCTCTCTCTCTCTGTTGTGGAAAAAAGATACATTTAGATGAACCTTTGCGAAGTTTGGTAAGTTCACTGTTAAATCTGTCTATGATGCTTTTTTGGAGAACTGGTTGTTATTTAACGGGAGGTCTAATTCTAGTTTTGGATCTAGTGTTGAGTGTAAGGTATGGAGGATCACCTGGAACCTACCTATTAAACCCAAAATTAAACACTTTATCTAGAGATGTTGGTTTCAGTGCCTCAGTACTAAAGAGGTTTTGGCTAAGAGGAAAATGTCTGATGATCCTATTTGTCCTCTCTGTGGGCTGGCTGTTGAGAGTATTGAACACATCTTGTTCAACTACTCAAGAGCTAGTTTGACATGGAACTGAGTGGTGTGACCTGGGATGCTTTTGATTCTTCTAATCATATTTTCAGAGATTGGTGGGGAGATATTTGCAATGCTCCAAATTTGAATAAAGTCAAGGACAAAATCTGCTTATCATCATATCTCCTATGGTGGTTTTGGAGGACAAGAAATGTGGGGTGTTCCAAAACAAATAAGTTAGTGAGTGGCAACTTGTGGAAGGAGCCAGGGCAGAATGGGTTGAGTTTTTTGAAGTGCAGGACAAGGCAAGAAGAGCTGATTGCTCCTCTTTTCAGCCTCCTATGGTTCAAGAAGACATTTTTGTAGAAGGTAGGACAGTGGTTGCTCATTGTTAGTGCCTCAAGCTCTTCATTGAATTACTTGGAGTTGACCTGCATGGTTGAACAAGAGGGAAAAGTGAACAAGAGTGGAAAGCTGAGACATTGTATGATGGTCGTGTTGAAGGCAGGTGGCTGGTGGCTATAAGGTGGGCATTAATTGAGGCCCCCCAGAGGGGTTGGAGACACTGCTGCTGCAAAGACAGAGATGTAGCTCTTAAGCTCAAGAAACAACTTTATTTTGATTTATGTTGTAATACACTAGCTGAAGATGTTTGTACTCTTATTACCTCTTTTCTCTATTTTTGTTTTGTCACTGGAGACTAG